TCTTTCCCCTAAAGTGGAGATTCCATCTGCACAGAATTAAGCACACTAGTTTTTGAGGGGACGGGAGGATAGCTGAAGAATCCTTTCTGCTCCTTTCAGAAGAGACAACTGAACATAGCAGCCTGTGAAGAAGCTGGGAGTATGATCTTGAATGAACTTCTATACTTAACTGTGAAAAATGATACACCTCAATATATTCACTGTCCCCTTTCCTAAACATTTTTGTCTTCTTCTAAGATGTGAGAAGACACCTAAGTCACAGGCTGGGGAATTTTCTTTTCTCTTACATGCTAAACAGCCCACTGATCCCCAAGTTTGAAGTGCAGTGATAAAGAGGGAAAAAAACTCCAACCTAGTCCTTACAATACGTATTGAGCTTTGTCAGTTCTCAATCTATTTACCCTAGTCAAACAAATTTCCCTTTTGATACTGTGAAAGTTTTTCTTAAATAAGAGGCACAGGCCAGGCCTAATTTACTGCATTTGTGATGTTTAATCACAAGAGTTGTTTGCATCCTAGGATAAAAAGTTTGCCTGAGTGCAGCTATCGCTCCGTTCAGCTAGAATGGCCTGTTCATTTCTGAATGAAAAATATGGCTGGCAATCTGCATAGAGTTGACAAATTTGTGTTAACCTTTTTTTTTTTTTTTATTTCCAGTCATGTCTTTGCTGTTGCTGCTCCCAATCGAAGAGTCTAGTGACTTCAGTGCCCATGAATGGAACAAGCATTCAGTGGAAAAATCAAGAACTAAACAATCACAATACAGATCGAAGCAGCCATAAAGACAGCATAAACTGAAAATTAAGGACTCTGATACCACTTCAGAATCAAACAGGAAAAAAAAGAGTCACAACAAAGCTATTTCGACAGGAAGCCCAGTGACTGTTCCATTATCAATTCAGACACGTGCACCCTTGTACCTAATTCTAGAGGTAACTGAGTAGATTGACTGACTATAACTGTGATGTTCCGTGAACTGAGATCCACTGGATGGTAATTCTGTCTCTGAAAATGATATTGATGTAATTATGACACCAAAAAACTGACTTGAGCTACACAGGTGGTTTGTTCTTCTGAACCAAGCAGGAACTGTCCAGTGACTGGTACAATACAATCTTTTTACCTGAGAGTCACTAGAATTAATCACTCTGGAATTTTTCAGAAGATATCAAAATGGAATCTGTCTGTGACTATATTTTCTCTCTGCCCATTTGTCTTTTAACTTTTATTTGTGTGGTGGACATATTCTGTGCACCAGTATGTTTTGCATATTGTTGTTGTCGTTGTTGTTTTTCAGGTTTAAGTGGGAAAATATTTTGGTCCACACCAGTATTTTATTTACTTATGTTACTTGGTCAGGACATTAGCTGGGCAGTTCACATTTGTAGCACTTCAGTACTCAAAAATAGGAAGAGACCATTTAAAGTAGCATTGACATTTGGCACTTAAGCACAGATTAATACCAAAAAAAGGTGTTAATAATACAGTACTATACTGTGTTATTTATTCTAATGCTCTGTACAAAATAAACATAATAAACATAATCTATACCAGCAAAAAGAATGGAAGATGCCCACAGAGGGGCACCTTACAATGTGTTTTTAATTAACCTGCCATGTTAATTCTTAAACTATATGAACCTATTAATCTATTTAGACTATAGCTGTGTTAAATCTAAGTCGAAATGAGGGTCAGTGGAACACAGTGAACCATTATTAAAGCTGTCCAAAGAATTCTGAGAATATGGCTATTATCATAACAACTATGCACAACAGTACTTACACATTGTGAACATGAGGTTATAGTCATAGAGAATGCAGAACTGCAGAAGTCCGTAACAGCTGGATGTGCACAAGAATATTTTGTGCCTTATGCTTACAGAGTTCTTTGTCTTACTCTCACAATGTTGAAAGATTTTAATGGGGTTTGATAGTTTATTAGAATTGTTAACCATACAAATGCTATGAATAATCTGTAGAAAATATTGCTTGCATACATGTAAACTGGTGATTTACTTATTATTCCCATCCATTATGGTTACATGGCAAGAGATTCCTTGTTTGGCTATAAAAATTTTTAATAGGTAGCCTCTCATTAAATAGTGGAATTAAATAGTGTGGTGTCATATATAATATGCCTCATGCACAAATCTGCTAGGAAATTTATAGCATCTGTTGTGCCAGGCTAAGAAGCAGTAATTAAAATTCCACAAATTTTTAAACATCCGTTACATTTCAAGTGAAAGCTATAATCCTGCATATTTTTATTTATGAGGTCCAAATGCTAGTGCCCACAGTGACTTCTGCTACACAAGTTTCCCAAGTGTCTACATTCACACAAATCTTCTAAAGTATATTAAAAAAAAAGTTCTTTAAATTGGTTTATGTATTTTTGTGTGCTTTTGTCTCTGTGACATACATGCGTGTATAAATACACACAAATTTATGTTCATGTGTTATAAACCTAAATACAGTCTTCTGACAGTGCTCTGCAGTAGTGCCTAAGAGCATGGTATTGAATGAGACTTGGCTGAATTTTATTTAAAACATTTCATCCTCAAACTGTATCAAAAATCATAGTAAATGAGTGACGCTGCTTTCCTTTGAGAAGGTTGAATTACTGAGTCTCTTTACATCCTGACACCTTCACTGCTCCTTTGACAGAATGTATTGAGCAGATGATAAAGGTAAACAGAAAACAGACATGAGGAATGGATTTAAGTTGTAAATTGCCCCTTCTTCATTTCAAGGCAGGAAAAAGCTTTGTGCGCATTCGCCTCTTCCGTTATTTATCTGATGGTTAGATGAACCAAAAAATTCATACTATACCAGCAAATCAATAATCTGGTTGTTCAGAGACAGTCTTTTCTACCTGTCTACATAAGACAGTAGCAGTAAAGACAATCCAGGACAGAAACTTCTACAAAAAAAAAAATCTACCTGCAAAAGTTTCAGACCCTGAAACGGACCATTTTTAGGCTTTACCAGCATTGACACCAACCACAAGTCATGAAAAGCTAACAACTTTCCTTTCAGTATTAACATTTCAAATACCTATCCGTTTCAAACCAATAGGTTGCTCTAATATGTGGCAAAGATACATGCATGTGCACACACAAAGCATACTTTAAGCCAGTTCAGCCTAGATGGAAAAAACATCTTCCTACACCCCAAAGAGCTGACTGACCTTAGCAGCAACATTATAAAATACAAAACTTTTTAACTAAAGAAAAAAAGAGGGTAAAGTATCTAACAGATGTGAGAGGTGTTTTTTAGAATGCTTTAGAATGATTTTTGGAAACTGACTTAGGGATCAAAGCCTGCAAAAGCTAATTGGTGATCCTCATTCCATCTCCTCCAGCCAGTGGAAGGACAGACAGAGCCTAAGTAACAGTGACAAGTGAGGTCTCGGGAGGTCTCAGACTCTTTCTTGCCATGCATCCTCTTTTGTACTTTCATTGGCGGTTGCTGCTCCCACTCACAAACCAATCATACAGAAAAAGGGTGTTAAGATGTGGCAATTATGGTGAGGGGGGAACTGTTTCCGTAAAACTTACTAAAGTATTTACTTTTTAAATTCTCTCCTATCCTTCCCACTGGTAATGGTAAATATTCCTCCTAGTATTGTATCTACCCTCAATTCTGAAAAAGCTACCTTTCCAAAAGAACCAGCAAAAGTCTTCCACAATTCTGAAATTCAACCATATTTAATTTTAACCTTTCGCTTTCCTGCCAAGTTCTGCAAACAGTTGCTCTGGCATTTCTCTTTGTGCATCAAAACCAGTGTAGGTTTAGTTGGGATTTTCCTCTACTGTTGCACAGAAGCTGCTTTCCCTTTTACATCAGAACAACTTTCTACAAGTATCCTTCCACCCTCCTCTTATTTTATAGATGTTTTTATGTCTGCTGTTTGCATTCCTCTCAGCTGAACCAATCCTAGCTTTTCTCTGCAGCTGACAGGATCTCTATTCCACAAGTTTCAGATTAATTTCTTACACTTTTTGTAACATCTGTTCATCATAATCAAAATCCATTTAACTATCGCAATCATCTTTTTTGTGGACTTCACAATTCCCAACTCTTTTCAGTCCAGTCAATGTAAAACTTCATTGACTGTTTCCCTTACATATACTCTCACATCTCAACTTCAAACACTTTGCAGTTCTCTTTAATTTTAGAATCCAGTTATTCTTGTTTTCCATATGCATTTTTTTCAAACTACCTCACTAAACATTTCCTCTTTGGTATATTTTATACTTATTTGCTTCAAAGATACAGCATACATAGGTTTTCACTTATATTTATGTTTGTATTTATTTATTTACATGTGAAACTCTGTGCTTCAGACCTGACCTAGCCAGCTCCTGTGCTTTGGGAAAAAAGTGCCTACGTAGTAGTTCATCATAAATCTCACCGGACAGCACTGTTAGCTTGGCTCTGTGAAAGGAGGCTTATGCAACCCTCATGTCTGAATATGTTTATTTCTGCTTTTAATACAGTCAGTTTCAGGTGTTTACCTGTCTGTCCCTCCATCTTTCAAAAACAACTATGAACTCCTTACCCAGTTTCAATAAATTTTACAGAACAGAGTTAGGAAGTTACAGAGAATTTCACAAAAACTGCAGGATGGGTAGAAGAACAAGATCCTACTCGTGTTCTATGCAGAAAATTGCTGAAAAGGAGTTTATATGTACTCAACAAATTCACAGGGTAGAGAGATGTTATGAACATTAAGATGCAGAAAAAGCTTTGATCAGAGCTTGCAACTTGTAAGACATCTGAGAATCAAACCACAACACACATGTTCCTGGAAACCAGTATTTGTAAGTTCCATTGCTTGTGAAATTACTTGCTTTTTTGCCGTTTCTCTCTCATCGTTTGCATATTTACCACAATCTTGTTACTATATCATTTGATTCTGTGAAGCCTTATGGGTTTCAGTTTGTGAGAAGACATGGTACAAATTCAAATTCTGCTGCATTTGTATGAACAGATTTCTGCTCAAATGTCCCTGAGGCAAAGCATGCATTTTCATTAGAAGGAACACACTCGGACTGCATGCTAACATTGCCTTGCAAAATTTCTTCCAGACAATCAGTTGTGCAAAGCTTGGCTCAGCGAAGTATTTCTAATTTACGCTCCTCACCCTTTCAAAGACTAAATAAAGGCAATTATCTCCAAAATCAGAGTAAGAGAAGATGCATAAAAAGTTTACAGAACAGAGACGATTCCCAAGTCGCACAGGAAAAAAACTCCAACCCAAACCAGGCATGTTTAAAATGTGGCTCTAAAAGAAACACAGCTTATCATTAGTCCAAGTGTGGGAAAGGAAGATAAGAACTAAATTAAAAAATGTAGGTCATCTCCAGTTTCTCTAAAGGAAGATGGAATTAATTGACGTCTAGTATCGCATCTAGAATCAGCTTATTCCCTGTACAGATATCACTGCTTCTGAAATGAACTGTTGCTTGAGTCACAGTTTTGCAGTCTCATTAGTTACAGTAGCTTATTATTACAATAAAGGTCAACATAATAAGTGTTACAACTGATAAGAAAAAAGAATTTATTCCATTTTTCAGCAGCATTCTGCCCACATTTCTCAGAGTAACTGAGTATCTGCAAACTGCTGTGAAATCAATGATTTGGAAATACTTGGTGCATCTCAGAATAAGGCCTTTACTTTAATCTCATGTTGTCTTAGTGTTTGGGAGTAAAAAGACTGAGTCTACAAGTTACTCGATCAAGCATCCAAAACGATTAATGAGAAGCATTTCTAAGCCATCCAAGAGAACATGCATTCTGCTGTGTATTTTAAACATAGGGAAAGTGCCATCCTGTAGGCACACTTCCTATTTATTGAAATCTCTGTGTCTAAAGTTTTTGTGTCTTTTCCCCTCCAAAATTGTTGTACAGTGGCCTCCTTGGTATTGCCTCTGAATAAAGTATACATTTGGATTAGCTTTCTTTCAAATATCTACACAGTATTAATAAAGGATCCATCTCCAGACACATGGTATATTCCAGTACAGAAGCACAACTAAACCACACTACCAGAAAAGTAAAAAAATTTTAGGGTCAAGTTTTAAACAGAAAATTAACATAGTACTCTTGGGAGAAATGAATACCACAGTTCAGTACTACTAGAAGAAAATATATTGATTTTTTTACAGAAAAAAAAAAGACCAAAACCCCAAACTATATAACTTTTGCTAACTCAACCAGAATTAAAATAATAACTAAAAGAGTAGATGTTTACATGAATGAGACTGTCCACAGTTACATGAGCTGGAATAAAATACTGTAAGGGCTATAAATCTTTACGCTCCAGTATATAAAATAGGTCCAAATTCTG